TTATTTTGATGGTTATTAAGAATTACATGACAAGACAAGACATGGCACCAGCTAAGGATGCAGAGTAATCCGTTGGATCCCCAGGCATCACACCAACTGCACTTCCATATTCTGAGCTACAGACTGCGACAACTGTGACTCGAGACACAACAGCTGGGTAACCCAAGAACCAGGTGGCTCCCCCTTCGAGCTTCGGCCCATGTCTCATAGAGAAGTTATTCTCCCTCATGACCAAGCAACGAGTCAACCACTACCGTGCCTATGCCTTCTACCGACTGAGGCGGCGTTCTGAAGTTTGCCTATCCCACGAAGTTTGCCTATACGGTTCGTCAAATGGAAAACACATTTCAATGTTTGCCCATGCGCTCGAAGTTTGCCCATCCGAATCCCGACGGCCACGAACCCTGCGATGAGGATCCACGACCATATGCGAACGGGGTGGCGAACGGGCATTGCCAGGCATACGATCCACGTTTCTAGCTTGCGAATCGTCGTAGACACGTCATCGTGGATGCAGTGCCCACAATCCCCCAGCTCAGGAAGAAATGGCACATTTCAATGAAGTCAAAACCAACCTGGTACTGCCACGTGTTTCTTCGTTTTTTTTTATTGGGCAAGGCAGTCTGTCTCGCGAGGCTGGTTGTTAGGTTTAGACGTTTGTAATGACTCGCTCTGTGTCGCTGACGGCGTTGCGTAGTCCTTGATCGCGTTTTGGGCAGGACTGAACCCTGTTCGCATTTCGTCTTCAGGGCTCGCGAAGTGTAGTTCGAGGCCCGCACAAACAATCGCATAGGGGTTGATGTCGGATGGGCTAAGTTGGGTCCTACGAAGTTTGCCCGCCAATTTGCCCAAAACCGAGTCGGATGGGCAAACTTTAGAACGCGATCTGAGAGTAGACGCTCATTCAAAAGTGAAATGGGGGGAGGGAACAGCCAGAACAAGGTCATGCACAGATGGATGATGAACCGGCAAGAGGTACAAAAACCAATCCTTGTCCAGCCGGGAATCGAACCCGGGTCTGCACCGAACTGATGGCAGGGCGCTATTCTACCACTAGACCACTGGCACACTGGATGGAAAATTAAGTGAGCTTATGCATAAATGTCCATTTGCGTCTTGATGGTTGCGCTCTCGGTATCCAACACAAGGGCAGAGAAGACCTTTAGCCCCTTTCAATGTAGACACAAGCATTTCCAAACAACCGTGTGGTGCCCATGAGTCTCGACAACTCATCCTTTGCAAGGGGCAATCAACAACCTACTCAACACCCGCCTGCCAGTCGTCGCCAGTAACCTTCAACTTCCTGCCGATTCAACAGCCTGCAACAACAACAGCAACAGAGAACGGAACAAATGAGGTTCTGCAAATGCAAGCACGATTTGCAAACGTACTAAAGGTGTAGACGTCATTTCCATTCAGCAACAACGACTTCTATACCTAGAGCTTTAAGCTCGAGCTCATGATAGTAGGCAAGCAGGTCTTGGGCCTCTTCGCGAGCACCTGCAAGTACAAAAACAAAAAAACAAAAAAACAACAACAACACCAACAAAACAAAAAAAAAAAACCAAAAAAAAAACAAAACCAAAAAACAAAAAACTAAAAACTAAAAACTACAAGGGAGAAAGAGCAATTTACACATCAGTCGCTGATAGCATACACCATTCTTCTCCGCAACATGTCACCAACCGAGCAAACGAGTATCCGGACATACAGAGTTTTTGGAAACTCAGCTGAGCTGGCAAACTGCCACCTCAATAGCATGTACCGTCGTCGGACAGCGTGATACAGAGTCGACTTGTGGCACGGTTGACAACAATTCAAATGCAAGTTGGAGAAATTAATGCAAATGCAATCTGGAGAAAAGGCAATGGCATATACGAATACAGTACATGCAGAGGTATACGCAACCGACTCATACGAAGCAGAGCAAACGTATCAGAAGAATCCTTTGTCATGGTCATCCTTGCTCGTCTTGGTCCCCAGTGGCACACGACTCGCTCGCTTCGTCATGCAAGAATTCGGAGATGCACCTTTGCACCAAGCTTCACGCCCAACAGCAAGATTTGGACCTGTTTGACGAAAGAAATGCGAAGAAACCATCGCTTGTGAAGAACCATCGGGGCGTGATACTTGGTTCTTGGACAATTGTTGCGGCCAGTACATATGCTTCTCCGCACGCTATGTCTAGCGAGAACGCAGTTTGAACAAAGAAGTTGTCATCACCTTTGCCAACAACCAGAACCTCCGCACCTTTAGACAAGGCATGGTTCAGTTACACTTGCTTGAAACAAACGTGGTGCTGCAGATGTCTCGCGTACAGGTGGTCGACGACCTCAGTTATAATATTCTCAATGTCAGCCAGTTGATGTCGAAGGGCATTCACCTGGAATGTGATAGCAATTAAAGGGAATTTTTGTTATATCACGGCAAGGGAGGATTATACATTGGACAAGATGATTATTAAACGAGGCGTATTCGTTACGACTTTGTACCTGATCAAGGAGCTGCCGACAGCGACGGTCTCGTGTCCTTCACGACTTAGATGCATCCTCCCGATCTTGATCCAGAATTCACTCCCGAAGGCTTCTGGTACCCCCACACAATACCTAAAGCATAGAGCACATGCGCGTTAGCAGTCATATGTGAAGCAAAAACTCCACCAGAAGAACAACAGAGGGTAGTCCCAAAACCACAAGCCGGTCCTTCAATTGATCCAGCTCCTCCCATTTTCGAGAAGCCACCACCAACAGAGGCATAGCAGCTGAAGCCGACAACCCGTGCTGTCCATCGGAGCGCCGCAACGGTTCCTGCCTTCTATGCCAACTGGGACTTGTACCGGCGTTCTGCAAGATACAAAGCAAGCGAAGATACATGGCATCAATGTCTCGGACACCCAGGAATTTCGTGGTGGCTTTACAACACAATTTGAGCAGGGGTCCTCGACAAGGACGCTCTACTACTACTCGACGATCGAGAAATTAGAAGGCCTACTAGAACATGCTTCATCTGCTTACCACATCAGTCGTTTCCGTCACGTCACAACCTAAGTGCACCGGCCTATGCTTCACTAGAGAAGGTGTACATCAATATTATGTACATACATCACAAAGAAGGTCGCCTCAACTACGTAATCACCTTCATCGACGCTGCAACACGCTATATGTCTGGCATCTTAACATGTCATAACGCGATCTTGCGTACCCAACATTTGTCACCTGGCACGCGATAGCAGAATGTGAAGCCAAGACCCCCTTTCCCCCAGATTTCCACCACAAGCTTTGCAGTTGTGCATGTGACTGCCATCCTTCCACCTCCCAACTTGAAAGGCTTGCTGCCTCCCTCCAAAAGTCCTCAAGGCCTTCGTGAAGGCCTTGCTGCTGCTACCATGGTTGCTGTGGCAGTCCGCATGTCCCTGCATCCCAGACCGCCATTTTTCTCTTGCTGATGCCTTCACTTGCTGAACGACTACAGCAGCAGGTTTGGCTTCCTGCCTCCACACCGTAACCATTATCTCTCTCCTGTTGCTGCCGGATTTTGGGATGAGATAAGGCAGCAGCCTCGCTTTCGCTGTTCCCATTCTTGCAACAGGCTTCCAAAACTGGAGGTGATTTGCATGCACTTCAGAGGGAACACGCGTTCATAAATAAAAACGAGTTCATAAACACTCCTGAGAGAAATCGGGGGTCTTTAAATGATTTAGGCAAAATAATGGGTCCTCACATCTTGTCATCATTTACTAAGACCCTTGCCCATAATGGAGCCCCTGGGTGGCTTTTTCGAGGGGGTATTTAGGTCGGGATATTACGGTACCCGTAATCCCATAGCTATATTATTTCCATTCTCGAAGCACATCAACTAGAATCCTGGTCTTCCTGACCTGCAAGGCACACACTCACATTCTGTTCCCCATTCAGGAATCGTAGAGCACTCAGGCTCATCCGTACTTCGACACGTGTACTTGGCCTGATAGACCCTGCCTGTACATGGGAGTGTCTTGCGGCTTGGGGAAGTTGAGATTGTACGGTGCAGCTTATCATGAAGAATTTTATTACCGGTAGATTACATGAGCCATGAGTGTTTGATGCATAGCATCCAGTGACACTTTTTTTAGATGTGCACTCAAGCTAATGATACTTTACATCCACATAAGGTCATATTCCTACTTTTCATATATTATGCCTAAATAGAAACAGGTTGGATAACTGTATCCAACATAAACACCGACATCATGGAGTGCCGAGTGCCACATTAGTAGGAACCGCATGCGTCTGACTGCCACTAAATAAAATCACATTCGACAAAACAACGCGAGGATCCACGCAAGCGCCACGTGGAGTCACTGCAACTGCAGACGATAGTCGTGGCCCGAAATCGCTGAACGAAAGTGATATGAACCGACGACCCAATGTTTTGGCCTCTGCCCTCCTTACTGCCACATGATGCTCATATGATTATGAATTAGTTGCAAGCATTTTCTACAACAGCAGGCTAACTATTGTAGTATGAGGGGGATGGAAGCCTTCTTCACCACACGAGCAGCTTCAGTCACCTTTATCTCATCATCACCATCCACCCCCGCACTTGCCAAACAGTCTTCCAACTTACCGTCCAACAGTCTGACATGCAGGGTGCAAAAAAAGGACATGACAGTTACCACCATAGCCCATGTCGGAAATGATGAAGACCAAACTTAAGCATTTCATGAGAATCAAGTATTATGCAACACACGAGAACAGCAACATCGAGGACAGACGAGTCACCTGTGCTACCGTACCCATCGTTAATTGACACAATCAACTGACACTTCAGCTGAAGCAAACTCACGGGAGAATATAGCTGAACAGTAACCGTTGGTCTCGAATAACAAGGCGCTATACAACTGCTATAGCATCTTCTATATATGTTATAATAGCTCTCTAGAAGAAGGCGCCATGAATGGCGAGAGGTTAAGGTGCTAGGAAAAATATCGAGAGAGAAGAGAATAAGATTAGAATAGAGAGGGATACAAGAAGGGGGTTGTACCCTCTACAGTAGAATCCAGTAACACCTACCAAGCCTACCATTATATATATATCAAATATATAATTTAACACACCCCCTAGGCTTGGTAGCTGAAAGCCCACCACACACACAGCACACTAAGCCACACACCCCCTAAGCCTAGCACCCCCATACTCAGCAGCAGCGACAGCTACTTCAGCAGGGTCAGCCCCTCGGTGCATGAGGCGGCGACGTCGACAGCGAGGGCAGCGGCTGCATGCGGCGGCGTGGCCAGCGGCACCAGCTGCGGCGGCGGCGGCTTCGACGACAGCTGAGCTCGCAGCACTCGGCGGCGTGGCCGGGCTACGCGGCGATGGAACGGCTGGCGCGAGTCAGCCGTCGGCTGCGGCGAGGAAGAGGGGACGCAGGGGAAGGGGGGCGGGGCTTCAGCAGCGGAGCCCGGGAGCATGCCGCCCCATGTGGCGCGCTGGCTGCATGCGGGCGTGCTGGCCAGCGCTAAGACGGGGCGCTGGCCGCTGCCATCCGTGCCGTACGCGCACTGGCAGCATGTCGCCACAGCAGCACGACGGCACCGTCGCGCCGCCACGGCTTGACGTTGACGACGCCGCCATGGCTTGACGTCGACACCACGACAGCGCGACGCCACGGCAGCGTGTCGAGACGGTCGCGGCAGCACGACGCGGCTGGCGACACGACGACGCCGCCACAGCAGCACGACGCAGCCGGTATGGCAGTGAGAGAGAGAGAGAGAGAGAGAGAGAGAGAGAGAGAGAGAGAGAGAGAGAGAGAGAGAGAGAGAGGAGTGCACGGCGGAAGCGTGATAAGCAGGCCCAGGAAGAGCAACGTGCTCTGAAACCATGTTAGAAGAGCAACCTTCATTGTTGTTGTTGCAGTTGAGTGCAACAATGGCATCACTGCAACTGACTTCGTTGATGACATCGCTGCACTTGATATCACTGACGCCATGGCTGCTTGCTGTGCAAGCTTTCAACCATCGCAACTGAGCAGTGAGGTGAGGTCAGTGGCACATGAACGGTGTCGGCTCCCTAAGCCTCCACATGTTGAGCACCTCAGCAACGACAGATTCGCAGTAACTGTTGCCATGCAAATCACTAGATGAAGGGGTTGAGGATCAATGGGGAATATAGACAAGCTTTAAGCACGAAACTATAGCTGCAACGGTCAGGAGATACAGGAGCCGAAGTACAGCTGTGAACTGAATTGCTGGAAAGTGATTGAAGCAAACACGTGGACTGCAGATGGCTCTGGTGGGGCTGTGTATTTCTATGTGAGACGGAGGGAGGGAATACGAGGAAGAAGGCATGGGGAGGGAGGATTGATCGGAGCGGGAACTCCGACATTGTGGCCGACATCTGCCCGACATAGTTTTTTTCACAGCAGCTACATCGGAAGTGAATCCGCCGCAATCGAAAATTCCGTGATAAGCAGAAACAGCTTATGTAGGCTCGGTGAAAAGCTGTTGGGGCTCGGCAAAACCCGAACCTCCTTTCATAATTTGTACACCCTCATGCCTGCAGAACGCCACACCCGGGGGGTGTACTTGTGCGTTCGGATGCTTCATCAAAATAGCCCATCCAGGCAGAATGCCACACAACTTGGGCGCGGGCCAATGCGGCCTCTCTATGCCATTTCAGCCCCGCACAAGTTGTGTGGGGCAGCAGAATTCCGCTTTGAAAAATGGCAGGGCTGCGCAACCAAAACCTAAACTTAGGCAGGTAAAGAAAATGGATGAAGGCAATTGGGGGATTGTTCAAAAAGTGTTTCGGCGGAATGGTTTAAATGAGTATTTGGGCAATTAAGAAAGGTTTAGCCTGCCCAGGCCGAACCCTCACTACCCTGCCCCTTGTACCTTCGCTTGTTCACCGGGATTTTTGCAGCCTCGACGAGGCTGGAAAGTGTGGCTGCGGTTGCCCTCCGCACAACTGGTGCGCGGCCCCGAACACCTGCAGAGTGAGGCCAATGATCCGAGACACAGCCAGGGGGTGGTATGCTTGAGCAAGCGCATAAAACGCGCGAGCTGGTTACTCGTCATGCTCAAGAAGCGCTGGCACAGGAGATGGACCACAGCGATGGTTACACTAGAAGTTTCAAGTGATCCTCGAGGTTCCTACTGCCACGTAAAGAATCTCCACACACTCCAGGCCATGGCATTCCGTTGGGTTGGGTGGGACATTTGCTGGGGGTAAACAGGCTGGGCGAGAACAAAACTGATGAAATCAATGCGGGGAAGAAGATTCTGTGTGTACTCGGCTGTGCACATCTATTTTTTTCCGCCCTCTTCATGTGAGCAACTCTGCAAGGGCAGTGGCTGCAGTGGCTGCAGCAGTGGCTGCGGTAGTGGCGGCTGCAGCGACTGTGGGCGGCAGTAGGCGGCAGCGGGCGGCAGCAGGCAGTAGAAGCTGTGGCAGTGGCAGGGATAGCTGCAGTGGCAGTGGGCGGCAGCAGCCGGTGCTGGCTGCTGGCAGTGCGCTGCTGGCGGCTGGCACTGGCTGCTGGCTGCTGGCGCTGGGGGCGAGCAGCTGGCGCTGGTGGAGCTAGTGAGCTGGCTGGCGCTGATGAGCTGGCTGGTGCTGGCTGCTGGCTGGTAAGCTGGCGCTGGCGAGCGGGCAAGCTGGCTGGCGCTGGCGAGCTGGCGTTGGAGAGCTGGTGTTGGCAGCTGGCGCTGGCGAGCTGGCGTTGGCGAGCTGGCATTGGCGAGCTGGCGCTGGCGACCTGGTGTTGGCGAGCTGGTACGAAAGCGTGTGTCGGTTATTTTTGACCAAGTATTGCGGAAAGGTTCGCATGCTCCTGGTACGACCTCCTCTCTCTCTAGGGAGAATACTAGGGCGGCTTTCCCTGGGGAAGGTGGATATATGGAGCCTAACTCTCCTGAGGACATCCCTTTTTGTCCCAGTGGTTAGGACTGGTGACTTCATGACATAGGTGTTAAAGGACTAGCTAGGAAGGAAGGGCGGCCATGAAATGGCGTGAGGGTTTAGGAGCTAGGAGCTAGGAGAGTAAAGTTTGACGAGAGAAAAGAGAGTGAACTAGAAAGAGAGAGGGATACAAGGAGGGGATTGTACCCTCTGCAGTAGAGTTCGATAAGCTACCAAGCCTACAAATTATATAACACAATATATAATTTAGCAATAGGTTGCCTTCATCGGCAATCATGTAGCAGGTGTGAATATATATTACTAGTACGAGGAAAGGAAACTGTCACTCCATGAAATATGCAAGTATCCATGCTTGCATAATTCACCGCCATCGTGTCATCTACCATCTGCAGTACAATCTTCAATGTCATATCCAAAATCACAGCTAGGGATTCAACATGTCCTTCAAGAGTACACTGCAGCCTAAGCAAACAAGCTCTTGGCCTGCTCCTTGGCCTCTGCATCACCCTCACCGCCGCTGAACGCCCCACCATGCTCCACACTGAACTTGAGCCTCGTGGTCGGAACCCCCCCAGCACTGGGCGCAACAATCTCAGTATCCACCACCACCACATCATCCTCCCCGTACTCGCCCCTCAGAATCCCCTTGGCGAGCTCATTCTCCACCTCGTGCTGAATAACCCGCTTCACGGGGCGAGCACCATACGCGGGGTCGTACCCCAGGTGGCCGAGGTGGTCGACGGCGGCGTCGGTGACGTGGAGGCGGATCTTGCGGTCCTTGAGGCGGTGCTGCACGCGGTTGAGCTGCAGGCGCACGATGCGCGTGATCTGCGCCGCGTCCAGCGACTGGAAGACGATGAAGTCGTCGATGCGGTTCATGAACTCGGGGCGGAAGATGGCCCGCGCCGACTCCATCACGCGCTCCTTCATCACCTGGGGGAGCGGAAGAGGCGAAGCGGTGGGAGGCAAGGAAGGTGGGATGAGGATGGAGGATCAGTTGAATGCACGACGTGCACAGACAGATAAAAGAAAAACCCCCGCTGTGAGGTCACTTAAAAAGGAGACAGAAGAACCTCAGACAGAAAAAAATGTGAGTGGTCACAGCAAGCAGCACTCACCTGGTACTGAACGTCCTTGTTGTCGGCCTGGTGGTCGAGCGCCTGCAGGATGTACTGCGAGCCCACGTTGGACGTCATGATGATGACCGTGTTGCGGAATGACACTGTGCGCCCCTGGCTGTCCGTCACGCGCCCGTCGTCCAGAATCTGAGCGCAGCGGGGGCGAGCACAGGAGAGAAATCCGTGAGACCAGGGGCAATGGGGAACCAGGTGAAGGGAGTTGGGGACATGACAGTAAGTAATGACATGACAGTAATGACATGACAGTAATGACATGACAGTAATGACATGACAGTAATGACATGACAGTAATGACATGACAGTAATGACATGACAGTAATGACATGACAGTAATGACATGACAGTAATGACATGACAGTAATGACATGACAGTAATGACACGGCAGGTGAAGGGAGTTGGGGACAGGGGGTAAAAGCAGCCATGACAGTCATTTATGAGACAATGCACACGCAAAAGCAACCACTTTGGTAACTGAAGCGCATGCAAACCAACCAACCTGCAGGAAGACGTTGAAGACGTCCCCATGCGCCTTCTCCACCTCGTCAAACAGCACCACAGAGTATGGCCGCCGCCGCACCGCCTCCGTCAGCTGCCCGCCCTCCTCATACCCCACATACCCCGGGGGGGCTCCGATGAGGCGCGAGACGGAGTGCTTCTCCATGTACTCGCTCATGTCGATGCGCACCAGCGCCTCCTCGCTGTCGAAGAGGAACGCCGCCAGGGACTTGGCTAGCTCCGTCTTACCCACACCTGTATGCCGTGGATTGTGCAGCAGGGGATGGGGGGTGTGTGATACGGTGAGAGAGTCACAAGACACATCAGCGCCTCCTCACTGTCGAACAGCAACGCCGCCAGCGACGTGGCCAGCTCCATCTTACCCACACCTGTAGGAAAAGTGGGGGAAAGGGTGGGAAGGAGGTGGGGGGGCGGGGAGGGGGGGGATGACTAGCCGAGACACGAGGTGCTTCTCCATCTGCCCGATCATGTCCATGCCACCTGGCTGGCGCCTCGAAAAGCAAGGCTGCCAGGGACTTGGCCAGCTTGGTCTAGCCCACATCTGGAGGCGGGTAAGTGATGTACAGAGGACGAGGGATGAGGAACGGGAGAGGGGCAGAGGGAAAGCAGGAGGACGAGGGAGCAACGGAGGGATGCGCTCACCAGTAGGCCCCATGAACATGAAGCTGGCAATGGGCCGGTTGGGGTCCGACAGCCCGGCTCGCGACCGCTGAATGGCCTCCGCCACAGCAGTGACGGCCGTCTCCTGGCCAATCAGCCTCTTGTGCAGCTCCTCATCGAGCTTGAGCAGCTTCTCGCGCTCCGACTCCTGCAGCTTGTCCACGGGGATGCCCGTCCACTTGGCCACCACCTCCGCGATGTCACTGCTGGTCACCTCCTCACGCAGCATGGACTTGCCCGACTGCTGGTACTCGTTCAGCGCCGCCACGGCGTCGGACAGCTGCTTCTCGAGGGAGATGAGGTTGCCGTACTTGAGCTCGGCGGCGCGGTTGAGGTCGTAGTCGCGCTCTGCCTGCTGGATCTCCACGTTCACGCGGTCCACCTCCTCCTTGATGCTCTGGATGCGCGACATCACGCTCTTCTCGCGCTCCCACTGCTCTGTGAGTTCTGCCTGCCGGGACTTGAGGGACTTGAGCTCGTTCTCCAGCCTCTCGTAACGCTCGCGAGACAATCTGTGGGGGGGGGGAAGGGGAGCAACAGAGGTTAAGAAATGCTCTTCTTGCGCCGCCACTGCTCCGTTAACTCGGCCTGATGGGCAATGAGTGCCTTCAGGTAATTTTCCTGCCTCTTGTCGCGGGAAATGAGTGCAATGCATTCCCCCCTCTTGTACCGCTCGCAGGATAGCATGGAGACAGGTCAAAGGGAAGGGGATGAGGAGACAGGTCAAAGGGAAGGGGATGAGGAGACAGGTCAAAGGGAAGGGGATGAGGGGGGGGGAGGGAAGGGGAAGGGGGAGGGGGAGGGTAGGGGGAGGAGGGAAGAGGGGAGGGGGCAATGGCATGCAGTCCAGGATGTGCTTGAAGGTTAACACGATCAATCAGGTCAAGGGGAGTTAGGAGGGCGAAGAAGGCCAACAGGGTAAGGTGCGTCACCTGTCGGTGTCAGATCCCAGTGAGAGCCGCTCCATCTCGAGCTTGAGCACGGCGCGGTCCACTTCGTCCAGCGCCGTGGGCTTGGACGTGATCTCCATCTTGATCTTCGCCGCCGCCTCGTCCACCAGGTCGATGGCTGGGAGGAAGGGGAAGGGGAAGTACAGTGGATTTGAGGAGGAAGAGAGAGGAGGAACGCGAGTGGAGTTGAGTTGGAAGATAATAGTCTTCTCAAAAAGTGTTATGGAAGGCACTTCAACCGCCTTTCCCAGGAAGGGAGCTCACCTTTATCGGGCAGGAAGCGGTCGGAGATGTAGCGATCCGACAGGCTCGCAGCAGCGACGAGAGCATTATCGCTGATGCGCACCCCGTGGTGCAGCTCGTATCGCTCCCTGAGGCCGCGCAGGATGCTGACGGTGTCGGGCACGGACGGCTGCCCCACGTACACCTGCTGGAAGCGGCGCTCCAAGGCGGGGTCCTTCTCTATGTACTTGCGGTACTCGTCCAGCGTCGTCGCTCCAATGCACCGCAGCTCGCCCCGACCCAGCATGGGCTTTAAGAGGTTGCCTGCGTCCATTGCGCCCTCGCTGGCTCCTGGAGGGGAAGGAACAGTTGAAATGGAAGATGGGGAAGAGAGGCATCAGCTTCAACACTTGTGCTCGCATCACAGTGGCGGGAAGGAGAGAAAAGAGATGAGAGAGAGAACGAACCGAGATGAGAAAAGGAGAGGAGAGCAGGAAAGAGAGGGAGCTTCACGGACCATCAACATCACCTTTGAAGACCATCTACCGACCCATCGACCTACTCATTTCCATCCCCCACTCACCACTCACTGCCATCCCCCACTCACCACTCACTGCCATCCCCCACTCACCACTCACTGCCATCCCCCACTCACCACTCACTGCCATCCCCCGCTCCCTCTCACTGCCATCCCCCACTCCCTCTCACAACACCTCACCAGCGCCCACAACGGTGTGGATCTCGTCGATGAAGAGCACGATGCCGCCGTTGCTGTCCGTGACCTCCTTCAGCACCGCCTTCAGCCGGTCCTCAAACTCGCCGCGGAACTTGGCGCCCGCGATCAGCGCGCCCATGTCCAGCGAGATCAACTGCGGGTTGTGGGGGGGTGGGGGGTGGGGGGGGGAGGGCGGGAGGATGGGTACGTGGGGGATCAGCTGCAAGTTTGGGGGAGGTGCGCGTCGGCGTTTGCGCGTGGGCGTGTGCGCGTGAGTGTGGGGGAGGGAATAAGCAAGGAGCTTGGTTCCTGGTATCAGCGTGCCCAAGGCCAAGCCAACGATATCAAGCGCTGGAGATGGACACAAGGGAAGATCGACCCGCAGCACAAAATGACCACCGGCGACAGTAGAATGAGAAGAGCACCCAACAAGCCAGCACCCATTGTAAAGTGTAAAAACATCCAGCCAACCCAACCCACGGCACAAGCCACCACGCGGCACAGGCCACCCCAGGCAGTGGTGTCTTACCCGGCGGTTGATGAGCGCCTCAGGGACATCTCCCTGCACTATGCGCTGCGCCAGCCTGCATACAGACAGAGTGGGGGGGCGAGGGAAGCAGGGGGGAAAGGGCAAGAAGGGCCCAGAAGAAGCTCGAGTGGCGGTGGGTGGGAGAGAGTGAGGGAGGCAGGAGTGGTGGCGGCAAAGGAGGTGGCACGGGGCGTGATGGACGGACCAGTGTGCCGCTAACAGGAAATGTCCAAGGCATCGAAGAACGGCGTGGCATCAACAGGACAGGAAAGAAAGCAGTTCTCTCAACATCTTGCTTGGCAACAAGGCTTGAACCCGCAACAGCGATGCCGCTCACCCTTCTGAGATGGCGGTCTTGCCCACGCCCGGCTCGCCGATGAGCACGGGGTTGTTCTTGGTGCGGCGCGAGAGGATCTGAATGCAGCGCCGGATCTCGTCGTCGCGCCCCACCACGGGGTCCAGCTTGCCCTGCCGCGCCATCTCAGTGAGGTCCCTGCCATACTTCTCCAGCGACTCGTACTTGTTCTCCGGCTCTGCAAGGCGTGGCAAGAACAGGCAGTGCGGAGGGGGAGGGGGGAGCGGGAGAGGGAGGGGGAGGGGGAGGGGGAGGGGACTACTGCGATGACTCTAAGCGCGCCTGTACTTTTCACGAGGCAAGCACTTGTTCTCCGGCTCTGGTGGTGAGAGCGGGCAATGGATTAGCAGGGGAGGGGGGGAGGGGAAGGGGGGGAGGTACTGAGTCGAATCAGATGGCGCCTGTGCTTCTCGAGAGACTCGTACTTGTTCTCCGGCTCAAAAGGGGGCAGAGGGGGGGGAGGGAGGGGGTGTGGGGACCGGGGGAGGGAGGGGGGGCGAGATGAAGAGAGGTGTGGGGGGGAAGAAGGTCAGCGTATGCAGAAAAAAAAGTGGGATAGTTCAAAATAACTCTCTGTTGGAGCAGCGTGTATGTGATTCAGCCTAACCTCAATGTTCCCTGATCTCAATCTGCAGTGTGTGAAACCAACCTGGGTGGTTGCAGGCTGCAGACGCAAGCATCACTGAGCATGCGTCTGAGGCCCAGCCCCTCTTTAGTCACACCCTTCCCCACCCATGACCCACCGCACCCACTGTACTCACGCTGGTCCGTGACCTTCTGCGAGCCGCGTACTTCAGATACAGCCTTCTCCAGCACGGCCTGGGTGATCCCCGCGTCGCGCAGCGCCTTCTCGCCGAACCGCCGGTCGCCGAGGAAGCCCAGCAGCAGGTGCTCCACCGACACGTACTCGTCGCCCATCGACGCCTTGAAGCCCCGCGCGCGGTCTATGAGGGCCTCGAGGTCCCGGCCTAGCATCTGACTGCTGTCGCCCGACACCTGTGCGGGTAGTGGGGAAGGCGCAGAGAGGAGCAGGGAGGGGGTGAGGCACGAAACCCAGCAGCAGGTGCTCCACCAAGTTATGAGGCTTTAAAGCCGTGAACGCGGCACACACATAGATACACGCACACGCAGACCCACAATGGACGCGTCGCTCTCACCTTGGGCTGTCGCGCGATGTATCGCTCAGTGGCGGCCAGCAGCTCGGTGCCGTCGCTACCAGCTTTGGCGAGGATGCGCCTGGCGAGGCCGTTCCGCTGCTGCAGCAGCGCCTTCATGAGGTGCTCCGTCTCCACGATCTGCTGCCGGCTCTCCTTCGCCACCTCCGGCGACGCGATTATCACCTGCCACGCCGCCTCCGTGAACTCGCCCTGGCTGATCTGTTGCCGCGCGCAATACGCGGGAGGGGGGGGGGAGGAGGGGGGGGATGAGGGAATTGAAGAACGAGTATGGGAGAGTGCAGCAGGAGCCCCTCACGAGGAGTGAGGCTGCGGATGCGGACCGCAGTTGAGGTTCCAACGAGTGCTGCAACCTGAAACAGGACGGCAACAGATCGAAGAACAGCGCGCCGAAAATTAGCGTGAAAGCGAATACATCACGCGAGTTTAAACGAGCGCAGGAGTGACGGAATGAAGGCAGGTCTTCCATATCCTATAGATCCCTAATTCCCTCCCGCCCTATCTCTCGGCTCATGGTCTCACCCTGCCTCCGCTGGCAGCAGCACGGCACGGTGCAGACCGGTGGAAGCGCCGTCGAGGCGCCACTCCTGGCGAGAGCGCTAGGGCTGGCGACAGGGTTCGGCCGTTGAAATGTCGCAGCTGCGAGTTAAGGAAGTCCGACGACAGCTGAGTAGAAGAGGCGGGCGACGCCGCGCGAACGCCAAGCGACGCACATGGCGAAACATGGCAGCGAGCGAGAAGCTGGGGCCCGACACGTGGCAGAGAATGAAGCGCGGCGATGGGAGTGCGACGAGGATTCGGTCGAAGCACTGCTGCCGGCGCCACCTGCCGTGGCGCGGCGAGACGAGCGGCGACGGTATCCATGAAGCGAGGCAAACTACGAGGAGCTAGGCGTGCAAGAGTTGCTGCACACATGAATGGTAGAAACGATTTGAAATTGCGGGATTGCAGATTTTCTTGGAATACGGAAGCCAGTCAAAGAATGCAGATCTGACGTGGGAGGGCGAAATATATAGAGCTGGCGAAATGCGTGGGGGATGAAGTAACAGAGAGAATTCGGCTCGCTCCCTTGCGCCTCACGCATACGGTACAGTCCCGCGCAGCAGCAGGCGGAGCACCGCGCTGCAAGGCGCGTGCCACGTGTTGAAACAATCCATCCACGTGTAGACTCTGGAAACGTCAACACAATTGTACACCCTTCGCGAAGGCGGCGTTGGCGCAGGAGAGGCTGGGGGCTGGTGACAGGTGTAACGAAGCAAGGCCGTTACAATAAAATGAACACTGTAAGGAATTTTCAATTCCTTACCGAGTGGTACTGCTATCGCGTACGCTCGAACACACCTGAAGCCTCGGGACTGTTCCAGACCTTCTGACAGAACCGCCTCGGCTTTTCCAGACCTTCCGGTTCGACCTTCAGGAGTTCTCCAGGCCTCGCTTCGTCACTTCGAGACCCTTCGATCTCCTTCCCGAACCTTCCCATCGCATGGTTAGACTAGCTCTGGTGTTCCTATATCTTGGCTTGCCATTCCTTGTATCGTCATTCATTGAGTGAACACTTCGTTATTCATTTCCGCGCTACTCTGCTTGTTCATTCATAACACTTGGTATTCAGAGCCACTTTCCTCTCTCACCCGTTTTCGAGAGTTGATTTTTTTTTTTTTTTTTTTTGAGTCCCTCACGTAAGCTGCAAAGCGGTTGCTCGCGAATTAGATTGAGTAATTCGCCCAACTACGATAGCGTTTGCGCTTACCTGAGTACAGGCACACGACAGAATTCCCCCTGTCCCGGCGGAGCATTCGCCAAATGGACCAAGCTCAGTTCAACGAGCTTCGGGAGCAGTTCAACGCCATGAACACACGCATGGCTACAGTGCTGGAGGACAACGAGCGACTTCGTGCGGAAGTTGCTGAGTTACGCCAGGCGCGAGAGGATTTGCGTCAGAAATCTGCAGCCCAAGAAGAGGTCGCCAGCACCGGACGTGTCGAAACCGTCTTGGACGAAATCGCACGTCAGGTGTCACAGGAGCGCAAGGACAGTGAAGCCGCCGCAGCAGCTGTCGTGGCAGCACGAGCAGCAGCCGAAGCAGCAGCAGCAACAGCAGCAGCAGCGACAGCAGCAGCCGCTCGGTCAGAGGCAGCCGCTACTGTAGCCGCACCGGCGTTTATGCCGATCATGACGACAGCGGCGATCAAACCGACAATGCCGCCCCCGTTCAACCCCACAGATAAGAATACTACTGTTACGGGCTGGTTATTTTCGGCGGAACTTTATTTTAATGCCGCTGGGATCACTGCTGACGAGTTAAAAATTCGACTGGCTATATCACTACTACGGGGACCTGCGCTAGATTGGTGGCGATATACTCTACAGGAGGGGGAGTATTCGGCAGGCGACACATAGGGGTTTTTCGGAAACTTTGGGTCAGCTGCCCAAGGGTCAACCGCGACTTTTGGATCAACCAAGATTCGCACGTGGAAGGCGTGGGGTACAGCTCTGCGTGAATGTTTCGAGCCAATATCTGCCTTGGACAACGCACGCACGAAGCTGGACAACTGGCGCCAGTGGAGTTTTGTCCAGGATTACGCGTCAGTCTTCATGGCGTTATGCGACCAAATCACCGACATGCATGATTCCGAGAAGAAAGCCCGATTCATTTCGGGTTTGAAGCAAGACATTAAATGCGAGGTCCGACTGCGACTGCCGGCGACGTTTCACGAAGCCGTCCAGATCGCAGACAGTTTCGACGCGCATCGGACGTATGCGAGAGCGGGTTCCCGGGAGGGAAATCGTTTTCGTGGCCAGAATCCACGGCCCACGATTCACGGCGTAGTGGCGAAGGAGCACATGGAAGATTTTCGCAAGGGCCAATGTTTCAACTGCCACCAGCCGGGTCACCAATCTCACGATTGCCCCCGAAAGAAGCAGATAAATAAGAACGACGAAGACAGGTCGGGAAACGCCAAGCGTCAGTAGCGGTCGGGGCCCCTACTGACCCTGTCTCCTCGCCCGAAAAACACCATCCCCACCGAGTAGTGGTTCCGATACATGCTATCAACCGCTCCCGGCCGAATAAGGGGGATGACCCAGTCGACCACCCTGTACTGACGGAAGGACGACTCAACGGGAGAAAAATAAAAATATTCATCAACGGAGGTGCGAGTCATAGCCTGATAAATCGAGAGATAGCACGACGACTACACCTGACACTGTAGAGGTGTCTACCCGAAATCGACGCGCGATTGGTGGACGGCACCCCGCTGGCGATACGCGACAAAGTACCCGTCGTTCGAATGAAGTGCGGCGACGATTTTGGTTTCAGCGCGCCGATGTTGGCGACAACACTCGACGGCTACGATGTGCTATTAGGACGCGATTGGCTGCGGAGATTCAACCCGCAGATCGATTGGACGACAGGCGAGTGCACAGTGAAGTGCGCAAAAGGCTGGTGAAAACTACCGACGTGGCCGGAAGCAGAGACGACCTCGACACGAGTCAACGCGGTGTGCCTCAAGCGAGCGGTCAGGAATGGAGCAGATTTATACGCCGTCCATCTCACAGAATCGATGGAGCAGAATGAGGCAACCGACATTAACAAACTCTGCGATTCGGTCCCGGATGACTTGGCGAAAATCATTCGAGAATATCCTGAGATCTTCCCGGATGACTTGCCAAGTGGATTGCCACCCGAACGACCCCAGGACCACAAAATCGAGCTGGAGCCCGGCGCGCAGCCTACTGTACGCACACAATGGCGCCTGACTCAGCCGGAGCTACAAGAGTTACGAAACCAGCTGGACTACATGCTGGCGAAAGGGTTCATTCGGCCGAGCACGTCACCGTTCGCAGCACCGATCCTGTTCACACCAAAAAAGGATGGTGGACTTCGCATGTGTACGGATTATCGTGCCCTTAATCGGGTAACGATAAAGTCGCGCTACCCAATACCACGCACGAACGAACCTCAACCCGCGGCAGATACGCTGGCTGGACTATCTGGAGTCGAACTTCACGTAGAAGATCACGTACAAAAAAGGGGCCAACAATATTGCCGACGCCCTTTCCAGACCATCTGCCCAACTCGCAGCAGTACTAGTCGCCCAGAGCAACCCGCTACTGAGTGGACTATTTACCCACGGGTATTCGACCGACCCCTTCTTCGTAAACGACGGCCATCTCCCAATCACTACTCGGAAAGGCGCCTATTACTTACGAAGCAGGACTGATCGAATTTGGGTCCCAAGTTATCGTCTACTTCGCGAATTACTAATTCAAGAAGTCCACGATTCGAATTTATCGGGACATTTCGGGGTTGATAAAACTCTGAAGGCGTTGCAGCGGTTTTATTACTGGCCAGATATGGTGACGGACGTGCAGCGTTACGTGGCCGCGTGTCCGATCTGCCAACGAATGAAGTCGTCACACCAGCGACCTACAGGACTGTTGCAGCCCCTCGAGCCACCTCAACGCCCATGGCAACACGTAACGATGGATTTCGTTACGGGACTACCGGCCGGATCCAGCGGAAACGACGCGGTTTTGGTTGTCGTCGACCTATTGACGAAAATGGCGCATTTCGCACCATATCGTACAACCATCACAGCCGAAGAAACAGCGCGCCTGTTCATCTCGACCGTCGTTCACCTACACGGGATACCAGCAGCAATCATTAGCGATCGAGATCCGAAGTTCACGTCAAAATTCTGGCAGGACACGTGGGCTCGGTACGGCACGCGTCTACCGTTCTCATCAGCGTATCATCCCCAAACGGACGGCCAGACGGAAAGGACAAATCAAACGATGGAGCAGCTGATTCTGACAAACTGCCCCGACCGGAAAAAATGGGAGGACGTGCTGCCCATGTTGGAATTTTCCTACAACAACGCGCCCTCATCTACGACTAATCACTCCCCGTTTTACCTCAATTACGGGAATGGACCCTACAGTGCCAATCTCCACCAACGTTGAGAGTCAAGTACCACGATCGCAACAGTTCGTCGAAGAATTACAGACTGCCCGAGACAAAGCTGTCGAACTTATTCGCAAGGCGAACGCAACTGCCCGACGGTATACGGATTTACATCGCCGGGATATTACGATGACAGCGGGGCAACTAGTCCTTTTGGACACCAAGAATTTACGACTGCCACCAGCGACAAAATCGTGACGACGTTTCTGTGGCCCATTCAAGATCGTGAAGATGGTGACGCCGGTGACCGCCCAGCTACGCCTACCTGATGACTGGCGAATTCACAACAAATTCCACGTGAGTCTGTTGCGACCCTTCGTTCCTGACACGTCGGACATCGCTCGACAGCGATTGGTTCCAAATGTACGGCCACCAGCCGAGACGACCATCGAGCCTTCAAAGATCTTGAGCCATCGGATTCGTATCGACGGTCAAGGACGACACGTTGACTTTCTGATACGATGGACCAATCGTACCAGTGAGGACGACACGTGGGTGCCCTCGGATCAGATACAGTCACCTTCGATACTTGCGAATTATTTGGACCGCAAGCACGTGGCTGATATAGATCACCTTCGCTAAGGAGGGGGGTGGTGTAAGGAATTTTCCATTCCTTACCGAGCGGTACTGCTATCGCGTACGCTCGAACACACCCGAAGCCTCGGGACTGTTCCGGACCTTTCTGACAGAACCGCCTCGGCTTCTACAGACTTGCTAGTTCGACCTTCGGGAGTTCGCCAGGCCTCGCTTCGTCACTTCGAGACCCTTCGATCTCCTTCCCGAACCTTACCATCGCATGGTTAGACTAGCTCTGGTGTTCCTATATCTTGGCTTGCCATTCCTTGTATCGTCATTCATTGAGTGAACACTTCGTTATTCATTTCCGCGCTATTCTGCTTGTTCATTCATAACAAACACAATGATTGGTCATACATTTCACAAAACCAGACATTAACTGTCAACACTTATTATGCTTATTCATTTCACCTCGTAGCATGACATGCATGATACAATCGACTGCCAAATTATCAACAAAAATTTTCAACTTCTAACCCACGGTTGCTTTTGAAGTCGTACAATTGTGAACCCCTATCGTTCTCCCAACACTAGCATCACACCTCCACCTCCACTCTCTGGTCCTCAAGAGAGCGCCAAGATCCTCAAAGTGAGTCATAATTATTGCACGAATGTGGCTTGGCGGCAGCATGCGAATGTGGCTTGGCGGCAGCATGCGAATGTGGCTTGGCGACAGCATGCGAGGGGGGTGGACGGGATGCAAAATCCTTGGAGCGATTTCGGGTGTGGATGGTTGCTCGCATGCTGAGGAGCAAGCTATTTTCATGTGGCTCTAGAAACGTTTACTATCCCCTTTACCGAAGACTATTGTAATACTCATGCAACCAGTTATGGAGTATGTGCATCAGGTATGATAAAAACAAGTTCCACAACGCAAGTGAATGTCATGGCGCATATGCCATAAGGTGTACAGATTATCGTCCTCCCCACCTTGATTCTACCCCAGGGCTTTTCTCGCCCAGCCTTGTTGCCTGTTTCCCACCCAACGGAACAGCAGCCTGTAAGCTCTCTGCGAGACCATTGTCGGTTTGCTCGTGGCAGTAGAAACCTCGATATTCGCCAGAACTTCCAGTGTAACCCTCTGTGGTTTTTATTTCATCGCCTTCTTGAGCTTGGCGAGTAACCAGCTCCACTCCATCGCGCGTTTTTCTCGCTGGCTCGAGCATGCCACCGTCCGGATGCGTCTCGAATCAATGTCCCACCTTGGGATTTTGCCATTCGACAATTTTGGAGTCGAATTCGCTCCGCTTCCGCCACCGAATCGCATTTTTTTGCCGCGGGCAACCTCCGCTCTCAGAGGAGGGGGTGCGCGGGGAGGAAAAGGGGCGCGGGGGGAGTGTGGGGGGGGGCGGGAGGGGGGGTTTGTGGTGTGTTTCGGGGGAGGAGGGTGGGCGACAACTTCGCGGGCGTTGCGGAAGAAACGGATCTGGCGTCGCACGCCCGAAACCTTGCTTCCGCGGATTCCTTCAGACAGCAAAATCACTTCCGGTCTAGTCGCGGTATAAACTTTTAAGGCGGGCAGCATGGCCACCGTAGACTCCAGATTATCCGAGCCATACAGGTAATAGTTTCATCTGCCCGAACCTGTTGTTCCCTCTCCGTTCTAGCCTCCCTCCCCACCCCATGCCTTCTACCTCCTACTCCCTCCCTCCGTCTCACATAGAAATACGCAGTCCCACCAGAGCCATCTTCAGTCCACGAGTTTGTTTCAATCACTTTCCAGCAATTCAGCTTACAGCTTCACTTCGGCTCCCGTGTCTCCTTACCGCTCCAGCTGTAGGTTCGTGCTCTAAGCTTGTCGATTTTCCCTCGAGTTTCTCCTCCCTCATCATCTAGCAGCTATTTCGCATGGCAGCAGTCGCCGAGAATCCATCGTTTGCTGAAGTGCTCAACATGTGGAGGCTTAGAGAGCAAACGCCGGTTCATGTGCAGCTGACCTCAACTCGGTGCTCGGTTGCAGAGGTAGACCGGTCGCAGGACGATTCTTCTCAGAGCAGCACGAGCAGAGACGTCTCCAGCACACCTGGCTCGGAGGTCAGCTCCATCGTCCCTCTCAGCACAGCAAGCAGCAGGGACTTCAGTGAGATCAGAAGCAACGACAACGTCAGTGAAACCAGTGTCAGTGATGACGTTGATGATGTCAGCTGCGATGGCAGCATGGAATCCAGCTGGTGCAGCAGCAGCGATGACGCCAGCAGCTGCTGTGACACTGTCAGTGCTTCAATCGTTCCCAGCAGCACTGAGAAGAGCAGCGCCGCCAGCAGCACGCTCTTCAGCTCACCAGCTTTGACTATAATGTTGAACCTGGCGACAAGTGCACGCAAATCACTTGCAGCCAGGAGGCCAGCTACAAGAATGGGAGCAGCCAAAGCAAGGCTGCTGCCATCCCTCATTCCGAAACCTGGCAGCAGCAGGAGAGAGATGATGATTCCGGTGTGGAGAAGACAGGATGCGGACTTGGTGCTTTAGTCACTAATCAAGATACTATGCGCTACAGAAGGCATCAGCATGAGTGAAATGGAGGCGTGGGATGCAGAATGTGCTTTCTGATGGACCCAAGGCATTTGGGACCTGTGTGGTGAAGAGGGCTTGCATCCTCCTAGTGCAGAGGCCGCCTGGTGCTGCTGCAGTGCTCCTGGTGTATTGTCAGCTAGTGGGCTAGTAAATCCTTGTACTAAAGCTGCTATTTATTTATTATTCATAGTATGAACATCCATTTGTGAAGAAAGCCTGAACAAAGCTTTACCAGAGATCACCACCATTAAGCCCTGTGTAAAGGGTGTAGGGAAGGATAAGATAAGAGGGAATGGCTTGTCCTGGCTCCTATCAGATGCCATGTTTGTCATTGAATATCAAAGCAGAACCAAGAATCGTGAAACCGTCGATCTGATGCACCACCATCAATGGTGGCTGGCAGCGTTCACCAGGCTACTAAACCAGCCCTTCTGTTACACTGCCAAGCAAGGATCCCGACAATGCCCTTCTGTTATATTTTGGCTTCCAATATTATCAATTTGTAAGGGGGTTACAATAGCCATCAACCAGACGGGGGTTTCCCCTTTTCTCTCATCAGCACCCGTCTCCTCAAGACTTCCATGAGCGATTCAAACATGTCCATGCTCTGCAGAGCAGGGGCCAATGCCCTCGCAACACGTTCATCTCCACTCCCTCCTCTCCGTGCATCGGCGTCCCCATCTTCCCCCTCTTCACCTGGCTTCACCTGCAGCCATTGATGCAGGTGAGGCGCCAGGTGGACGAATCGTGGCCACACAGCAGCGCCAGCAGCATGCAGCCGTTCAACCTCTGCATCTGGAATGGATCGCAGGATGTCAAAGAGCCGTGGGATGTCGCTGTAGCTCACCCGCACCGCTATGGCGTCCCAGTCTATTAGCTCGCCCTCAAACGGCTGCTCCACATCGTCCTGGAGGAGTAGGAAGGAATAGCATAGTCAAGGTTAGAATGGTGAGAATGATTGGAAACAGGTGGCCCACATCGACCTGGCGGCAGGGAAGGCGAGCAAAGCAATGAGGGAGAGACGGTCTGAATAGAAGGAGTAGACAAAAGGTAGACGGGTCTGTACTGACGCTGGCAAAGCAAATTACAAGAGCTTCATGGATGTGAGGAATTTTTTAGGTGAGCAGAAAGCAGCGAATAAGGGAGGAGCACCGAAACAGAGGTGGGCAGTGCTCTGAACCCGGGCAGTGCTCTGAACCCGGGCAGTGCTCTGAACCCGGGCAGTGCTCTGAACCCGGGCAGTGCTCTGAACCCGGGCAGTGCTCTGAACCCGGGCAGTGCTCTGAACCCGGGCAGTGCTCTGAACCCGGGCAGTGCTCTGAACCCGGGCAGTGCTCTGAACCCGGGCAGTGCTCTGAACCCGGGCAGTGCTCTGAACTGAGATGCATCTAAAATGACCTGTGCAGCGCACTCATGGCGCGCCAGCCACAAGTCTCACCTGCAGAATGACTGGAATGCATCCCAGCAGCACGGCCTGCGTTGTGCGCATGGCCCAACCGAACCCCGCCGGCGCCAGGCAGAACCGTGAGCGCTGCATCTCCTCGATAAACCCCTGCGGCGCTCCCGTGGTGGGCACCAGGCTCACCCCCTCCAGGTCCAGCCCGTCCGGCTTGACCCCCCCAGTGGCGGTGAAATTCACGAAGAGGTCGAAAAGCAGCTGCCGCACCCCGAAGCTGAGCACGTAGGGGCGCAGGGGGCGCGCGTCAGGGATGTCGGTGGGTGGCGGGAGCTCGTCCCAGTTGGAGAAGAAGCCGCGGAAGAAAGCCAGGTAGGGGCGGGCTAGGATGGGCGTCTGGAGGGCGAGCGGGTCCACCGCTGCTGCCACATCGGCTGCTGTATTGGTGGGACTAGTAGCCGGGGTGAGGAGGTGCGAGAGGGAGGAGGGAGAGGCAGCAGAGGAGAGGGAGGAGGGGAGGGAGGCGGCGAGGAGGGCGGAGCGGATGTAGGGGCTGGCGCGCAGCACGCGCTCGCCTTGCTCCGGGGGGAGCAGCACGTCCTGGCCGGGGATGAAGCAGGGGCGTGTGGCGCCCTTGAACATGTTCAGCCGGTGGCCCCACAGCGTGAGGAGAGAGGCATGCAGCAGCAGCGGGTCGCGGTACCCCCACCCCCCCCCGAAAGTCTCACACATGCCCCAGTCGTTGCTCGCGTAGAACAGGTGGTTCCTGCCCCCGCTGTTGCTGCTCGCGTTGTTGCTGCTCTGGTGGTGAGCATGTGTGCCGTTCCAGTATGGCCACGTGGTGCTGATGTAGCGGATGGCGGAATCAAGGAGGGCGTGTGACTGGGCCATGCTGGGGCGAGGGGGGAGAGAGGGAAGGGGATGAGAGAGATCAGAGGAGGTTGACGGATGGCTAAGTCGTTCTGAGGCGAGGGGCGAGTGACTGACTGGCGCATGCTAAGGAAGGGAGAGGAAGGGGAGAGGAGTGGGGAAAGGACAGACGGGCTAGGTAAATACAAGGCGCAGTACAGGGTCATGAGCAGCGGAACATGAGCAGAGGAGCATGAGCAGAGGGGCATGAGCAGCGGGGTATGGGCAGAGGGGCATGGGCAGAGGATGGTTTCAACGACAGAAGGAGAGCGAGTGCTCGGGGAGTTTAGGATGGATCAACAGAGAAGAAGACAAGCAAGCTATGGATTGCGATGCATGCACCGCACGGAGATGGGGACGAAGAAGAAGTGGGCTTTGTGCATGTTGGCGGTGCGGTGCGGTGCGGTGCGGTGGCATTCAAATCTGTTCATCCTTTGGTGGAAAATGCTGACGAGCAGGAGCTCATATATACAGGTGGAGGGGCTTGGGAAAAGAGCATCCACTCACCACAGGAAGATGGGGCGAAGAAGTCAGCCTCGTTGGCGGCTGGCCAGCAGGCACTCGTACAAGTGGAGGGGCTCGTGGGGGAAGCCATGCAGCAGGCAAGCATGCTGGGGAAAACCATGCATGCCGGGGCAAAACCATGCATGCTGGGGCAAAACCATGCATGCCGGGGCAAAACCATGCATGCTGGGGCAAAACCCATGCATGCTGGGGCAAAACCATGCCTGCTGGGGACTACCAGCTCACCGCAGGAAGATAAGGACGAAGTAAAAACCCGCTTCGTGCACGTTGGCGGTGCGGTAGGGGCTGGTGAGCAGGCGCTCGCACAAGTGGACAGCAATGCAGCAGGCAGGCAAGCATGCTGGGGCAAACACCATTGTCATACCGCAGGAAAATTGGAACGAAGTAGAAGTCGGCGTTGTGGCCGTCAGCCGTGCGGTAGGGGCTGGCGAGCAGGCGCTCATAGAAGTGGAGAGGCTCGGGGCGGTCGAGGCTGTGGCCGTGCAGCAGAATCCACGAGGTGAAGCGCGGAGGCAGGTCGTACACGTAGACGCGCGGTCGCAGGGGGGCGTGGGATGAGACAGGGGGCTGGATGGCATCGGGGAGAGACACTCTGGGGTTGGGGCACACGGGGGGAGTGCAGGGGTTGAGGGGGAGGTAGAGGGGGGGGGGAAGGGCAGGGAGCGAGGGTTGAGGGGAGAATGGAGGGGCTCAGGGCGGTTGGGTCGAGGCTGTGGCCGTGCAGCAGCACCCACGAGGTGACGTGCGGAGGCAGGTCGTACATGTAGATGCGCGGTCGCAGGGGGGATGAAACAGGTGGCAGGGAGGCCGGTCGTACACGTGGACGCGCGGTCGCAGGGGAGGGTGGGAGGTGACGTGGGGGGTAGCCGGCAGAGACACTCTGTGGGGTTGGGGTAGGTAGAGAGTGGTGGGTAAATGGGTTCAGGAGAGAGGGTGGTTGGGAGGTAGCGAGTTACACAAGGGAGGGAAAGGAAGGAAGGATCAGGTATAAGGAGGAAGGTCGAAGATGAGGCAAGGTGGAGTGGATGGCAGCACGGGAAGGCCACACCTTGCAAACACGTCAGCCTCACGTTGGCTGGCCTTGGCTTGAGGGCCGCGGCCCTCAAGCTGCAGGGGGCAGTCCGAGCCAACGAGCCCCTCGTTACACACACACGCACGTGCCGCCGGCCTCACAGCGGGTTTCCAGACATCCTACACCTGTCCGTCAGCCTCACCTCGGGACGCCGTGGCTGTCAAGCTGCAGGGAGCAGTCGGCGCCGAAGAACCCCGGGGGGCACACGCACGTGCCGGCGTCACAGCGGCCCCTGCCCGAGCAGTTGTTGATGCAGGGCGCACCGGTGAAGTGAGAGCCCGCCTCGCACCACTGCCCTGTGAACCCCAATGCACACCTGGTGCCATGCCGTGATGTGATGTGCCGTGATGTGATGTGCCGTGATGTGATGTGCCGTGATGTGATGTGCCGTGATGTGATGTGCCGTGATGTGATGTGCCGTGATGTGACGTGCCGTGATGTGACGTGATGTGATGTGCCGTGATGTGCCGTGATGTGACGTGCCGTGATGTGACGTGATGTGATGTGCCGTGATGTGATGTGCCGTGATGTGCCGTGATGTGATGTGCCGTGATGTGATGTGCCGTGATGTGATGTGCCGTGATGTGCCGTGATGTGATGTGCCGTGATGTGATGTGATGTGATGTGATGTGACGTGATGTGATGTGCCGTGATGTGCCGTGATGTGACGTGCCGTGATGTGACGTGATGTGATGTGCCGTGATGTGATGTGCCGTGATGTGCCGTGATGTGATGTGCCGTGATGTGATGTGCCGTGATGTGATGTGCCGTGATGTGATGTGCCATGATGTGATGTGCCGTGATGTGATGTGCCGTGATGTGATGTGATGTGATGTGATGTGATGTGCCGTGATGTGATGTGATGTGATGTGCCGTGATGTGATGTGATGTGATGTGATGTGCCGTGATGTGACGTGTCATGCCGTGCCGTGCCACACCATGCCATGCCATGCCGTGCCGTGCCATGCCATGCCGTGCCATGCCATGCCATGCCGTGCCATGCCATGCCATGCCATGCCATGCCGTGCCATGCCACGCCATGCAACAAAAGTACACGTTACACCATGGCAGGTGATGTCATAAGCACCATTCATTGCCATGAGAATCATTGCCATGAGCATCAGTGCCATGAGCATCATTGCCATGAGCATCATTGCCATGAGCACCATTGCCATGAGCATCATTGCCATCTCCCATAACTAGATGTGGCGAGGCGCAAGAACATCCAGAACCCCAGTAGGAAAGGGGAAGGAGAAAAAGAGACACTAGCATTGCAGGTCAAGATACTGTGTACTGACTCTCAGGACCATATTTCTAAAGGTAGAGAAATAAACACCCAGCACCCCATCCCCCATCTCCCCACCTTCTCTCACTCAAAATCTTGTGTTTGCCCTCCACCTCGCGCCCCTCCTCTCTTTCCACCTCGCGCCCCTCCTCTCTTTCCACCTCGCGCCCCTCCTCTCTTTCCACTTCCTCTCACCTTGTGCCCCGTGCACCGATCCCGATGCACAGGCAATGACGCCTGTACTTGCACTACTGCAGAGACTCACACTGCCACCAACTCACACTACCACTCATTCTCACTCACAATCGCGCTCACTCACAATCACGCTCACTGACAATCACCCACGCTGCCCACTCACTCACTCACACTGTCACCAACCCACCACACCGCCACTCACTCGCAGTGCGACCCATTGCCGTGGCAGACCCCGCGTCCCGAGCACCCGTGTTTGCAGCGGGTGGGAGCAGCAACGTCCGCCCACACCCCAGAAGCATCACCAGGCGCCAAGAATGCCAAAACCTCCTTGTACCCCCGCTCCTGCTCCACCCGGGCAGCTTCCTCGGGCAGCATGAAATAATCTTTCAGCGCAGCGCGCTGCCCGTCTTCGAAGATTTCAGTGGGAGAGCGCTTGAGGGTGCCGTTGGGGTGGATCTCGGGCAGGCAGTGGAAGGCGTGGTGGAAGGCAAGGCGGTTGCAGTCCAGGGCGCAGCGACACGTGGTGGGGAGCGCACAGGGCTGCAAGAGGGAGAGAGGGGGCAGCCGGCAGGCTGGCATTGATGGGGTGTCACAGGCTGGTCCCTCCCTGGATGAGAAGGCGAAAGGGAGGGAGAGGAAGAGACAGGAACAAGGCGGTTGCAGGCCAGGGAATAGAAAGAACCCCAAAAACTGAGAGAAAAATGAGAATAGGACGCATGCGTGGTGCTGCTCATCGCACACCGGGCACTTGAGGCTTGGAATGAACCCAAGGTGAAACGCAGAAAGGAAACCCGCAACAAGACACAGAGCAAACCCACCCACAACGAGGCCATAGGACTCTGGAAAACAAAGAAGTCAGAGCACTCACAACCGGTGCATACCAGTCAGGGGCAGATATGACCGTCGCATACCAAGGTGACTTTTGAGTCGACTCAAAAGTCACCCAGTCAGGGGCAGATATGACCGTCACATACCAGTCAGGAGGGCAGTCGCAGCGGCCCAGCTCCTGATTGCACGTGAAGCGGCACCCCTCGGAGCACCTGCGACCCTTGCTGCCAGCACTCCCCACACCCCCTCTCCTGTCACCATCCGCCACATCCATCCCACTGCCAGTATCTGACACCACTGTGCTCTCACTCGTGCTGCCTCTGCCTGTGCTTCCCTCCATCGAGCCGCTGTCCTCCCCGCCACCAGCAATCAGAGCACTCCGTTCCTCCCCACACCCACCTTCTTCTTCCCCCAACCCCCCTGCCTCCACTGCCGACCCTTCCTCTTCTGCCTCCAGTCCTGCTTCCCTCAACACTGCCGCCGCCTCCTCCTCCACTTCGTCACCATCCAAACCAGCCTGCCACGCCCCATCATCGCCCCCTTCCTCCCTTGCTGTCTCTTTTCCACTGCCCATCAGATTCTTCCTCCCTCTTTCCCCCCCCCCTTGTGCCTCTTGTTGAGCCCGCACCACTCTCCCTCGCAGAACGCCCATAACAGACTCAAACACCCCAAGGCGCCGAGTGGCCCTTCTGAGCCTCCTCTCAGCCTCCACCAGCCACTCCCCGGGCAGCGAAACGTTCAGATACTGCCCGTCACCCTGCCCGCCATTCACTGTCCCTCCGTTACCACAATCCCCTCCCTCCCTGCTGGTACCATTGCTGACGTGGCATGGCTGCTGACTCAGCATGCTCGGCAGCACGCCCTCCCAGGGGTCGAAGGACGGCGACTCATACAGCAGCCGCACCGCTGCCTTAAACCCCTCTGCCTGCAGGGCTTGCACACGGGCGCGGGGGAGGGAGCGTAGGGTGCGGGGGAGAGAGGAGAGGTGCGAGAGGGGATCGTGGAGGGAGAAGCGCGGCCAGTGAAGCGGGTGGGGGTGGAGGGGCGGGGAGGAGTGGGAGGAGTGGGAGGAGTGGGAGGAGAGGTTGTGAAGCAGCAGGGGGATGCAGCCCAGCAGCAGGGCGTGCAGAGCAGCAGGGGACCAGCCGTGAGCGAGCAGAGGGGCGAGGCAGAAGCGGCTGTGCTGCAAGTGGTGCGCCTCTAATGGGTCATCAGGGCCCAGGGGCGCTGTTGGGGGGAGGTGCAGCCAGGGCGGGTGGGAACTGGGGGCGAATGGATCGGTGTGTGGGGGGTGGTCTGTGCTGTTGCTGGTGCTGTTGGTGCTGTGGTTGCATGCTGCAGCGCCAGTAGTGTTATTGCCAGCAGCAGCGGTGTGGGAGGCAGCAATGAGGCGCTTCAGTGATGCAAGCACGCCAAAGCCAGGATCAAACGGCACCAGACAGCCCTCACAGACCCGCCCTTCATCCACACCGCCACCGTCTCCCTCTCCCTCCACCCCTCTTCCCCCCTCCTCCTCTTCCACTCGCCGCACGTCCCCTGGGACCCCCACGACGCTCAACTCCCCCACCAGCCCTCTCCCATGCACCATCCACTGCCTCTCCTCCCTGTCCCTCCGCCACACCTCCCCCAGTCTTCCCCCTTTGCGCCCCTCCCCTCCCCCACTGCGCCCTTCCCCTTCCCCACTGTGCCGCCCAGGCCCCTCAGCTCTGTTGCTCTCAGCCCCATCTGCCAGGTTGGCAGCAGAGAAGGCCAGCAGGCGTCGCAGGGCGGCGCGCAGCAGCGGGAGGGGCGGCATGGGCGGCACGGCGATGTCCTGTAGTGGGATGAAGCAGGGGTGGGCACGGCCGGCGAAGAGATTCCGAGGGAGAGTGAAGGGGGTGAGCGTGATGGCATCTCGCAGCAGAGGGGGGCGCATGCCGGGGGGAGTGAGAGGGGGGGAGGAGGAGGAGGACGGGTGAGAGGGGGCGAAGTGGCAGGCGCCGAGGGGCGCCATGGCGAAGAGAATGTGGCCCTTGCCTGAACCACCCCTCTCGTCCCAGAAGGGCCACGTGGCTCGGATGTAGGCAATGGCTCTCTGGAGGTAAGCGAGAGCACGGTCGCCGTATGCGCTGTTAGGGGGAACCCCGGAGGGATGGGGGGGGGGGGAGGGAGGGGGGGGGGAAGGGAGGAGAGGGAGAGGCGTGGGACAATGGATTGGTTGGGTAAGTCGACTTATTGCTAACTACTGGGTCGACTTATAAGTCGCCTACTTCCAAAAGGCCCAGGTGGTGCAGACAAAGGCGATGGCTCGATGCAGGTGGGGGAGAGCGCGGCTGCCGTGTGCGCTGCTGGGAGGGGAGATTAGGAGGGGCTCAACAGAACTGTTTGGGTGGGTTTTGAGTCTACTGGGATCGACTTGAGGTCCCAGAGGGGCCAGGTGGTGAGGATGTAGGCGATAGCAGCATGGAGGTGGCGGAGAGCATGGTTGCCGTATGCACTGCGAGGGGGAGCGAGGGAGAGGGGCATGTGCACTGAATATGGGTGGCAACTATGCACTCACGGGAAACGCTACAGATGTTGGAGATTGGTCTAGTGAGAACACAGGCGGGGGTATGGAGGTACTTTCGTGTGAGGCCGGGGAGAAGTAAAGATGGATGGGTAGTGATGTGGAAGGAAGACTACCATTGCAGAAACGAAGACGTGATGAAGCAGTCAGGAGTGATGAAGCAGTCAGGAGTGATGAAGCAGTCCGGAGTGATGAAGCAGTCAGGAGTGATGAAGCAGTCAGGAGTGATGAAGCAGTCATGAGTGATGAAGCAGTCAGGAGTGATGAAGCAGTCAGGAGTGATGAAGCAGCCAGGAGTGATGAAGCAGTCAGTAGGGATGAAGCAGCTAGGAGTGATGAAGCAGTCAGGAGTGATGAAGTGCACAAGGCCCAACCTCGCCTACCCCATCAGTGTGCTCTCGCGTTACGTTGCTGCTGGTCGATACACCAATCGCCACTGGTCGGCTGCTAAGCGCGCCCTTCGCTACCTCCAAGCCACCAAGGACTACGTCCTCACTCTCGGTGGCACGACCCCTCCTCACCTCGAGGGATACAACGACTCCTCATGGGCTGATGATCAAGCTGACCGCCGCTCTTCCCAAGGCTATTGCTTCACCCTTGGCAATGGTCTCATCAGCTGGCGATCTACACGCTCATCATCCGTCTCATTGTCATCCTACGAAGCTGAGCTATGCGCAGGCACCATGGCAGCCCAGGAAGCTCGATGGCTTACCTACCTCATGGCTGAGCTCGGGTATCCTCAGCAGACCCCGACTCTGTGGTGTGATAACGAGAGCACCATCCACCTCACCAAAGACCCTGTCTTCCACCAACGAACCAAGCATATCGAACTGAGACACTTCTTCATGCGCGAGCTCGTCCAGCGAGGGCAGTTGTGCGTCAAGCATATTTCCTCTGACTTAACCTCGCCGACATGTTTACGAAGGCTCTTGGACGCCGTGATCACTATCGTCTCCTCCGTACAATGGGACTTGGCGTCCCTACGGCTTCCGACGTTGCAGCCTAGGGGGTGTGTTAAAGATAGGCTGCAACTCGGTTAGCACAACTTTGTGTTGGCAATTTGTTGGTTTTAGGGATACGCATATTTGTTAGGTTGGGTGTAGCTGTGTTTTCATCCCCAACCTATCCCAACCCAATCCATCCCAAATCCTCACGATTTGGGAGGATTCCCTTGGGATTATTTCCGATTCTCCCGTATCCCTTCCCATCCTCTCCGATGCTTGGTACTTAAGGATGTATGCTCTTGCTCATTATATCAATGAAGTTCTCAGTTTCTGATAACGGAAACAAGATTGAGGAAATAGTCAGGATCACAGAGTTCAGCCCCAAAGCAACTCAAACACCGTACACTGTCTGCTTCCCTTTTGCACACTCCTCTGGTAGCACTGCACTCACAGCCCTCACTGCACTCACAGCACAGCACAGCACAGCACTCACAGCAGAAAATCACTGCCCGGCTCACTGCCCACTCACTGCAGCAGCAGCGGCACGAAGTAGAAGTCCGCCTCAGACCCGTTGGCAGTGCGGTAGGGGCTGGCGAGCAGCCTCTCGAGGAAGAGAAGGGGCTCCGGGCGGTGGAAGGCGGAGGGGGCGGTGTGGTGGATGAGCCACTGGTGGAACACCGGCGGCAGCTCGTAGATGTACATGCGCGGCCGCACCCCCCCACTCACATTGCTGCCTTGAGACTCCCCCTCCTCCTGCGTTCCCCCCTGCTGCCCCTCCTGCCGCTTCTGGTCCTCTTCCTTGCGCGTGCTGGGTTCTGACTGAGCCAGGCTGTTGAGTCAGCCGCATGCGAGAGAGTGGAAGGGTGGGCGGGGAAGGAGAGAGGGCAACAAGTCATGTAAGTGGAAGTGAAGGGAGGCCATCAACACACACTGGCATCGGGCAATCCCACTCTCAGCAATCTCCTTCCGTCTCCAAACTCCACCTCAACCCCCTCCCTCCCACCCCAACCTCCCTCACCCTCACACCACCTATCCCCTCTCTCAACCCACCTCCCCCTGTCTCTCTCACCTCATCTCCCCCCTTCCCCCTCTCCCCCTCACCTCACCCGTCCCACTGCATTTATCTCCAGCGAATCACCACCAAACGCCCCTCTCGCGCTCGCACACACACGTGCCCTCCACACGGTGCCCCGTGCTCGCTGCCCCACGGCATTCATTGCAGCGGAGATGTGTTTTGTTTTTGAGTCGACTCAAAAGCATGAGTCGACTCAAAGGCATGAGTCGACTCAAAGGCAGTCATTGCAGCGGAGATGTGTTTTGTTTTTGAGAATCCTCAAAACACATCCAGCAGTCATTGTAGCAGAGCCCAGTGAGACACACGATGCTATGCCACTCTCTGCCATCTGCTCTCGTCTCCCCACTCCATCTCACCCCACCCCCCCGCACCTCCCACCACAGCTCTCCCTCTCCCTCACACACACCACCTCTCCTCTCCTCTTAACCCTCCCACTAACTCCCCCACTCCACTTCACCTCATGTGTCCATCGCTCTCACCCACCTCTCCCCCTCTCTCACCCTCACCTCACCCGTCCCTCTGCATTTATCTCCAGTGAGCAGTCAGCACCGAACGCCCCTTGCTCGCACACACACACGCCCTCCACACAGCGGCCCCTGTGCGCCGCCCCGCTGCAGTTGTTGTAGCACAGCCCGGTGAGATTACCGATGAGGTGCGCTGGCCACTCGCACCAACGACCAGAAAACGCCGGCGGACAGCTGATGGGGGCATTGGGGGGTGCGGAATTGCATGGCATGGCACGGGGTGGCATGGGATGGATCATGGATGGCATGGCACGGGGTGAGATGGCAGTGACATGGGTGAGGAGGGACTCCGATGAGATGGCTGGTGAGGGGGGTGCTGGCGACTCGCACCAGCGACCGGAAAAGGCTGGCGGACAGCTGGGAGGCGCATAGGCTGGGATGGCATGGCATGGCATGGCATGGCATGAGATGGGGTGGCAGCGGCATGGGGCGGGAGGGGTGAAGTGTGGTAATATTGGGTGGGAGGGGCTTTGAATAGAGAGACCGAGACAGAGAGAGGAAAGAGGAAAGACGGAGGGAGAGACAGAGAGAGGAAGTGAGGGGCAGGGAGACAAACGAAGGGATTGGGGAGTGAGGGGGCGAATGGAGAACCTGCAGGTGTTGCCCACATGGCACGTGCCACGGCCGCTGCAGTTTCTGCTGCACTCCCAGGGGGGAAGCGGCCTCCACCTCACCCTCTCACTCTCCTCCCACTCCTCGCCACCAATCTCCACCACTCTAAATGCCTCAGTCTGCTCCCTCGGCTCTGGTCTCCCCCCCTCTGCTCCACCCGCCCCCCACCCGTCTGGTCCTATCTGCGGCACCTCCCCCACCTCCTCTCCCTCTCCCCTACCCTCCACCTCGCCCCCACCAGCAATAGCAAACACCTGACCCGAATACACCCTTTCCCAAGCAGCACTCGCATTCACCGCCCTCTCCTCTCCGCCCCTGCCGCCCTCACCGCCCGCCTCCCCCTGCTCTCCCCCACCCTGCCCCTCCTGGTAGCAGAGGGGCGCCGTGGGCAGGCCGAGGGCGAGGCACTGGCGCGCACAGGAGCAGGTGAGGGCGCGGGAGGAGCAGGAGGGAGGCGGGCGGGAGGGGGAGGGGGAAGGCTGCAGAGGCAGGGGGGAGGGGGAGGTTGGGGGGGAGAGAGGCGTGCAGAGAGGCAGAGCAGGACGGTCACAGTGTGGGCCACGCCTGGGGTATGGGCGGGGATGGGTGGGTGGGGATGTGTGGGCGGGGATGGGTGGGTGGGGATGTGTGGGCGGGGATGGGTAGGTGGGGATGTGTGGGCGGGGATGGGTGGGTGGGGATGGATGGGAGGGTGGAGTCGGAGGGATAAGTGCTGAGAGCATCGGTGAAGAAATGCATCACCGTGCATGCAGCCATTAGAACATGCTCGGATTCTGTCCACCCAACCACGCATGCATGCCTCGCATGAATCCCATCATGCGTCTTACCACACAGCTCATCTCACCATGCAGCTCATCTCACCATGCAGCTCATCTCACCATGCATCTCATCTCACCATGCAGCTCATCTCACCATGCATCTCATCTCACCATGCATCTCATCTCACCATGCGTGGGGGCACCAACACTGCTTCACTGCCAGGTTGCATGTCCCCGCACATCCCCCCTCGCACCCTCCCCCTCCACCGCCTCCTCCCGCGGCCTCCGCACCTTCCGCGCTCCTTCCTAAGTCTGCACCACCTAGCACCGTTCTTAACGCTCCACCGTTGCTGATGTTTTTCCATCCTCCCACGCCTCCTCTCATTCCTTCTCCCTCTCCCGCGCCTCTACCATCCTTCAAATCCTCTCCCTTTCCCCCCACAGCCCCTTCCGCTTCCCCCACTCCCCTCACTCCCCCCTCCACTCCCCCATTGCCCCGCCTCTCCGCCCCTCCCATGTTTCTCCCCGCATTATCTCCCCCCATGTCCCCCACCCTCGTCGAGATTCCGCCATCCGCCTCTCCGCCCTCCCTCCAAACCTCCCCAACAAACCCCGCCGCCTCCCCATTTGCGTTCTCCCCAGCCCGCGGCTGCGGTGCGGGGGGGCGGAAGGCTGAGCCCGCGAGGAGCGCGGAGAGCGCAAGCAGCGCGAGGCAGCAGCCCGCGAGGGCGAGCAGCGCGAGCAGGCGGGCGGAGGAGAGGCGGAAGGATGCGGGGAGGCGGAAGAAGGAGGATGTGGGGGCAGGCGCGATAACTGAGGAGACGCCATGGCGGAGGTGAACGGGGGCGCAAGAGGCGGCGGAAGCGGAGGAAGCGGAGGATTGGGTGGAGGAGGGGTGGCGGGTGTGAGACAGTAGAGCACTAGACGACAGTCCAGCAGCCATCATGCAGGAGATGCAACAGCCTCTGCCGTGCCTGCATCTTCACGTCGCCTACGTGATGCGGCAGTTGCGGTCAGGCGGTGATTGCGTCGCTGACAGTGAGCTCATCACTACAGCAAATTGTTCTGCCATAGCGTTGCGTTTTTAGGACCTCAATACACGGAAGTGTCTTCGACAATTCTGCGTGCAATGTATACACCATGCGGACATACATGATGTTATCTCCACCACAATTCCATATGCTCTCGGCAAGAATTCTCATATGTTTATGTAAAAATAAACCCTTTAACACCATTCATTGTGATTCCTAGAAACATCTTAGGGTGGGATGGGATGGCATGGCATAACACCCAAAAGTACCAACCTATGATATTAAACCCTCTTAGATTACTCACATCCCTTCACACATGTGAAGACATCAATTACAGCTCCGTAACGGGTACAGATTCACAATCCTTCCACCTTGATTTCATCCCCTTAGCATCAGTTCTAATTTCGGAGTCTGCTGGCACTCTCCTTGATGATGCCGAGATTTTCACGGAGCCTTTTGGCAGGTGCCTTTCCTCACGGGCCAGTCGGACCCTAGTGCTGTCTCTTCGATCGCGGACGGGCAGGTAAAAATAGCGAGCTGCTGCTCGTGTTCCCGGCCCGCCTGGCAGTGCCTGATTTGCGACCCGAAGCCGGGATGGGTAGGCTGCTGTTTGAATTATTCGAATCGCTGGGAAGTAGTTCCGATAGGCCGCTGCGATGTTCATTTCGCAGCGAGCCGCCCATTTTGTCGCAAGGGAGCACGCGATCTCGTCGGAGGATCGATCTCGGGCAGCGGAAGTCAAAATTCTCAAGCCGCTGCCTTGCTTGAACGTTCCGTGAGTTTCGATTAGGCTGCAAACGCGTTTCAAATGTTTGACCGTGTTAAGATTTTTGAGACGGGCAGCATGCAGCACCGAGCTCAGAGATTCCCGGAGCCAGCGATTCGGGCAGCAGTTCCTGAGACCTGGCTCCTCCCATTCCGTCCCCCCTGCTGCTCCTTCCCACAACCCACATCCTCTCTCCTCTCCCTCGTGCTTCCTCTGATCGCCTCACCTACAAATCCAGAGTCCCACCCAGACATTCTCAGTGCCTCTTCAGTTTCCTCCAGTTTCCTTCAGTTTCCAGCGAGCTTGATTGCATTCAGTTCCTTCAGTTCTCAGCAAGCTCGATCATACACGGCTCATTTCTGCTCGCCGGTTCTTGATTACAGCTGATACTCCTCTTTCAAGGCGTTTAGCTTCTCGGTTACTTCCTAGCTCGACCTCCACCAGTTTCCAGTTTCCAGGCGGTTCCATGGCTTCTTGTTTTGATGGTGGCCGCTACCCGACTTTCGCTGAAGCACTCGCCTTTTGGATAGCTTTGCTGGCCTCGTCCTCAGCTGTGGCGGACTGCCCGACTTTCGCTGAAGCACGCCGCTTCTGGCGAAATCGGATCGCATGGCTGCAGCGTCGGGCTCTGCTGCAGTCTTTACGACGACCTAGTAAGCTGGCGTCGTCCTCGCCTGTGAGGGACGGCCCGGCTTTCGTTGAAGCGTTGGGCTATTGGCGAAGTCGGATTGCATGGCTGCAGTCTGGGTGTCAAGCTCCGCGGCCCACAGCTCCGTGGCTGGCTGCAGAGGAGGAATCGCTGACCGAGGGGGCTGCAGATGAGCAAAGGTCACGGATTGAGGAGGTGACAGATGCGGAGAGATCACGGATTGCGGAGGCTGCAGAGGACTTCCCTGAGAAGGTTGCGCCGATTGAATTCGATCAGAGCAGTGACTGCAGCAGCGACGCCAGCATGACCAGCACGGCTGACAGCAGCACCTTCAACAGCGACTACAGTGGTGACAGATGCAGTGACAACAGTGACTACAGTGACTACAGTGGTTCATTGAGTTCGTCCGCTGTGACAGATGCAGCAGGAATTGCTGCTGCGCTTGCTGCTGTTGCTGACGCAGCCGCCGCTGCTGCTGCTGCTGTTGCTGCTTCTACCGCTGCTGCTGCTGCTGCTGCTTCTGCTGCTGCTTCTACCGCTGCTGCTGCTGCTGCTTCCGGTGCTGCTGTTACAGAGGTAGCCATGCCTGCTGCTGCTGTTACAGAGGTAGCAGCTGTGAAGGCTACTGCTGATGCAGAGAAGAAGTCCGATCACAAATCTAATGCTTCTGTGACTTGGAAGGAAGGCACCGTAAGCACGAGGCAGCGGGGGAGAGCTGGTGGTGTGGAATGTGGAGCAAGGAAAGGCTCTGCTAGGGTGACAAGGGTGGCAGCAGTGAGGCATCCACTGAGGCCTTGAAGGCTGCTAGCTAGGTGGATATTGGTTAGGTTATTGTAGATGCAATGGTGATGTGGCATTGCCTGGTTGGCCTTGTACATTATTCCTGGTTTAGCTATAGTGTGAATTCCTGTATTGGTAGCCATGTTTTCCTTCACATACAAGCAAATTATGTTTATGCCGCTGAAGCTAAAAGTCTTAACGTAGGATTGAATGTCGAGAGAAAAATGTACAAGGGTATAAGCTTAAATGTTGTACCTGTTAGAATGTAAGAATAATTTACTAGTGTGGGAAACCTAGAACATATACCTGTTGGGGTTGTACTCACTAGAAGCACACACCTAGGCTAGCCTATAACTTCTACATACAGCATATGTATAAGTTGACACACCCCCTAGGCTAGAGAAGGGGTGGTGCTAAGCAAGAAGCACACAGCTCAGGGTGGCACTACTAGTCCAACCACTGAGGCAGGGGTCTGAAGACCAGTCAGCAAGAGTACAAACAAGACTAAAGCAAACCAGGGTGGCACTACTAGTCCAGCCACTGGAAGGCAAGGCCTCAAGGCCAGTCAGACAGGTATATATAGTAGAGAGTACACAATCAGGGTCCTAACAAGTGAGTAGCTACAGGAACAAGACCAAGCTGTACACAGTGCCGCTGATGATCTTTAGGCGCAAGCGCCTTCGTAAAGATATCAGCTGTGTTGGGACCAGAGGCCAAGTGAACTACACGGGCCTGGCGACGCTGCTGTAGCTCGCGCAAGAGGAAGTACCGCAGCTGGATATGCTTCGCTCTGCCCTCAAGTCGAGGCTTCTGACACAGGAGAATCATGGCCCTGTTGTCAGCGTACAGGACCGGGGCAGAGCTAGGCCGCTCACCTAAGTCAGTGAGCAAGAAGGTAAGCCAGCGGAGCTCCTGTGCCGCAATGGCACCGGCGTAGATCTCAGCCTCACAGCTCGACTGAGCAACAGACGACGAGCGACTGGATCTCCAAGAGATAGCACCCGAACCAAGGCTAAAACAGTAGCCCTGAGATGACCTGAGAGTCTCAGAGTCGTCTGCCCAAGAAGCGTCTGTGTGCCCAGTGAGAACCACTGGCTTGCGTCCTCCAAGCACTAACCCCATGCCCGATGTACTTGCTAGATATCGCAAAACCCTCTTAGCGGCCGACTAGTGCTGTGGTCGGTGTTTGCCAGTGGCCACAAATCGAGCCAGGATGCTGAGAGGGTATGCGAGATCTGGGCGAGTGCAAGTCATCAGGTACATGAGGCAACCCACCAGCTCTGCGTAGGGGATGCTGGGCTCTACTGTCTCCTCAGGAACGGGAGCGGAGAGCCCAAGGTCTACAGGTAGAGGTGTGGGGCTGTGCGGAGGAGAATGAAGACCGAACCTCTGAAGGACCTGACGCACCAAGTGTGACTGTGTCAGAGTGATGGTGCGTGCTGCTCTGTCCCTAGAGATCTGCAGGCCAAGATAGCTACGCAGCTCTCTAAGGTCAGTGCAGGTGTGTCTCTACAGCAGCGTAGGTGCGAGGGGTCGGGATGTCGAAGGCGTCTGGGTCACCCTCTGGGATTAGGAGCATGGATCAGAGATGGGGAGTAGCCTCGGAAAGGAAAGCAAGCTCGTACTGCCTGTCCTCTAGAACGTCACTGCCAAAGGCAGGCGCACCCCCGACGGACAGAGGACGAACAGGGTCAGAAACGAGAGCAGTAGCGTAGTCAAGGCGGCGGGTAGAGGCGAAGTCAGCGACAGCAGTGACAAGCGCGTCAAGGCGCGAGACAGGAACAGACGGGTCTGTAACAAGAGAGGCAAGGACCCGAGGGACAAGGGGACGAGCGGCACGGAGGTAGTCAGACAACGGGGGAGGTGCAACAACAAGAGATGAGGGAGGAGGCGAGAGGAGGAGGGGAGGGCGAGACGAGTGGGAACGGAGCAACATAGGGTGGGAGCGCAGGAGAGAAGAGACGGGACGAGCACGTGAGGGACGGCGAGACCAAACGTGGGACTGAGGTGTAGGGTTCGGAGACAGCGGAGGCGACACAAAAGGGGAACGAGGAGGAAGACGGGCCAGAGAAGAGTTCGGGGGCGGGAACACAGGGCCGTAGACAGGAAGGTGAGAAGGTGGTGGGGGAGACACCGGCGAGCGGTTCGGAGAGGGAAGGCCGAGCAGGCGAAGAGCGGAGACCGGCTGCGGCGGTTGCTGCGGCGGCTGGGTCTCGACCCGCGGACCGGCAGGGGCACGACGACTGCCGGGAGAACACTCAACGGCAGCACCCCCAGAACCAACACCCCCAGAGCAAGAACACCTTCCAGCACCAGCGGCACCCCCAGGCCCGCCGGGACAGACCACGCCACGAGCCGCAGGACGAACACTCTCCTCAACGCCAGCACCTCCAGAGGCCAAGAGCGGCAGCGGCGGCGGCGGCGGCAGCGGCTGCGACGGCGGCGGCGGCGGCGACGACTGCGATAGCGGAGGCGGAGACACCGGGGAAGGGAGACGCGGCAAGGACGGGCCGAGGGGACCACCAGAGTTAGCAGACTCCTCAACGAGGACAACCGACGGGAGGGGAGTGACATGCGAGACACCAGACGGGGCAGGACGAGGCGGAAGGGGAGCAAGGGCTTCCGGGGGAGAGGAAGCAAGGAACAGGGGGGGGGAACCGGGAGACCTCGGTGAGGGAAGCGACGGTAGAAGGAGACGGACTCGTCAAAGGTGACGTCACGAGAGTGAAGGAAGCGGTGAGACTGCGGGTGGTAGAAGAGCCAGTCAGACGAGTCCAGGGGGAAACCGAGGAAGACACAGGGGACAGTGCGGGCGGTGAGCTTGTCCGTGCCCGAGGCACGAACGTGAGCAAGGCAACCCCAGACGTGGAACGCAGACGCGTCACCGAGTGACCCGGTCCAAAGGAGGGTCGGCGAAACCTGCGGCCGCTGGGAACGTGGCCACAAGTTAAGCTGGTGAGCAGCGTAGCGAACAGCAAACGGCCACAGAAAATGGGGGGCATTGGCATGAATCATGGAGATACGAGCAACCTCCATGACCAAGCTGATGCGGCGCTCAGCAACCCCATTCTGCTGTGGCGAGTCCGGCAAGGTGTACGACTGGGTGATGCCCTCCGCACGACAGAACTGGCCAAGCCGACCAGAGGCGAACTCGCCGCAACGGTCAGAGTGGAGACACAACACGGGGAGACCGCGGTGAAGATGCGCAGCCACAACCTACGGGAAAAGAACGTCAGGCACGTTGGCCTTCCACTCCAGGGGAAACACCATGATGTAGCGCGTGTAGTCGTCAACAAGCACAAGAAAGTAGCGCTCACCGCGCGGTCCGGGGACGGGGGCCGGGCCCCAAACGTCCTGGTGCAGGGTCTGAAGGGGAGCAGAAGCAGGGCGAAGCGAGGAGGAGTGAGGGGCACGGCGGAGCCGGCCCTCGACGCAAGGCGTGCACGGTGGAGCAGTCGAGGGGGGAAGGGCGGGGAGCGACGTGGGGAGGCTTAAGACAAGACCGTGCTGAGACATGTAACGCAGACGCGGGAGAGCAGGACGACCTACGCGGTGGTGCCACAAAAGGGATGGGTGAGTGAGGGACCGACACGAGCAAGCTGCAGCGACCTGGGAGGACGCACCAACCAGGGGGAAAGCGGTGTCGAGGGTAAACAGACCGGACACCGGGTCCCGGGGGAACGTCGCAAGGGGGGAACCTGAGACAGCCTCGGTACAGACAGCCAACCGCTCGTGCCCAGGGAACGTAGTGGTGACGCCAAGGTCCTGAAGGCGGCCGACACCAAACAGGTTCCTGGAGAACGAGGGAACGTGGAGGCCTGTAAGAGAGCCCGAGGGAACGGCTGGACAGGGAAGGGAAGTGCAGCTGCGAGCGACGAGAGGACCCGTAGAGGGGTCAGCAAGAGCGACAACAGCAGGTGCGGCAAGCGGCGTGAGCGTGGAGCGGTCGCGGAAGAAACAGGCAGAAGCACCGGAGTCGAGAGTGAAGGACAGCGAGGCAGTAGCAGAGGCCGGGAACGAGGCCGGTGCAGGAACTAGGCTAGTCAAACTAGGCAGTCCTATGCCTGACGCAGCAGGGGAGGCAAAGCTACACAAGGGTGCTACACCTAAACTAGAGTACACAGGGTAATAAGATCCAGCAACACTAGAAGCGTCAGCGTACAAGGCATGCAAAGCAGCACCTATATGATCCATATCTAACTCAAAGATCGGCACGCCCTGGCGAAGCAGGCTATGCCAGTCGGGGAGGTCCGGGGCCGGGCCAAAGCGACGACAAAAGAGATCGTCAAGGCGGCAGGAACATCGGGCGGTCGGGTGCGGGTGGCGGCACAGAGAGCCGCGGAGAGGCCCAGTCTGAAGCTAGTACTGGCAGGTCACACCAACGGAGCTGCCGGTAGACGCCAAGCTGCGCGGGCCGCCACCACGGCCACCACCTATGGAGGTGCCGGGCCAACCCGGTGGGAGACGAGCCCACGGCGGGGGCTGGGATAGCTGCTGCGACGACTGCGACTGCTGCGACAGCTGCTGTTGCTGCTCTTACTGCTAGGGCGACGACTGCTGCTCCTGACTAGCTGAGGCAGTCCCCTCAGTAGAACCACTGTCCCCGTCACCACCACCACTACCACCAGCTCCACCACCACGCCCTCCCTGGCGGCCACGGCCAGCGCGGCGCGGGCGCTGCTGCGGGTGGACCGCAGCTGTAGTCTTGGTCAGAGGGGTCGCAGTGGCAGCCGCAGCCGAAACGTCAGTAAACGTGCACTGGGAGGGGGCACAGCCGTGAAAGATAGAGACTGCCGGCGCACCGCTCGACTGAGCGATAGTGCGCTGGCGAGTCTCGATCTCGGTCAGGGCGATGACAAAGGCTGTCAGGGTGAGATCACCAGGGTGCTGGCTAAGGATGTGGTCGCGTGCACTAGCAAGGCGGTCAGGCAGGCGCATAGCGATAAAGTAGAGGGTCATGCAGAAGGGGGGGGGGAGCGCAGTAAGCTGGGCAGCAGTGCTAGCAGTGCGGTAGCAAGACTTTAGGGCTCGTGGGTGGGTGGCAAGGTCAGCAACAGTAGGGAAGGAAGCAAGATCCGGGAAAAGCATAGGGAAGAGTAGGCGGCCTACAGTAGCGGAGGCAGGCGTGGAATAGCGGGCAACAACAGCATCTAAGTAAGCCTTG